AATCACGGCGCGTGCATTTCTCTGAACATTTTATAATGTGCAGTAAATTGCTAATTAAACATTATCAAATTTGTTTTTGACTCTGATAATTTCTCTAATTAATGTTTTTAGGGTCAGCAGTTTTACATTAAATTACTCAGCTGTTGTAACATCAGTTCATAGTGTCACTGTACGCCCTCGTACTGCTTATCTTACTTCCGACCTTGTCTCGCTTTTGTAAGGAGGACCATGGTACGCAAAAGACAACTGCCGTGTGTATCTCTAACTTAAGGACTATTTTTCGCTGTCCTGGAGACAGGCGACAACCAGCCAAAGCAACACGCTTAAGGGCATCTTATTGTCTCTCTATTTGATCAATTTGTTGCATAGCTTATTTTTCCTTTTGTAACAAATGTTTTAATCGCTTCCGGGGCAGTGGTTTGCCAAATGTAACTGAGAGGCAAAAAAGAAACCTTCTCCTTTTTATATACCTAATAATAAGCAAAACCTCTTTAAGTGTACTTAAATACGTATCAGTAACCTAGTGCATACTTACTCATTGTAACATAATTTTCATAGTTATCCCCAAAATCGTGTCACCAATTAATTTTCACCGTAGTTGTCGTTGTTAGTGTTGAAAGAAAATAAAAAAAAAATTAATTTTTTTTTAAAAATAGGAAACGTAAGAGTGTTCTTTTCAGTGAAGGGTTTTAGTCAAGGGTCGAGGGTGAAATGTCAAGGGTTCAAAAATGTCCTAACTCATTGATTGATTTATCTCTTTGCTTATTTAAAATTTATTATTATATCATTCCTTCTATCTCGTGGTCGTAAGATTTCCCACCCTTCTCCAACTGTCAGCAATACCAGGATGTTAGCTCTCGTTTCCCCTCTGTAGCACTTTCTCGCATTCTGCTATTTCACTCGCGCGTGTTTCAGTGAGTTATTCGTGGTGGAGAGTTTTTTGACAGCGTTCTTCCTTCTCAATAATCTTTGTTGGAAGTCTTTAATATTTTCATGAAAAAGACTTTCAGCTTTGCTCAGAGAACGTTGTTAAAAATCCTACCAAAAGTAAAACCACGACTTCATGAACTTCTATATAACGTGGTTCTTGGTAGGAAGAAAGATATTCTTTGCCCCAGTAATACGAAAATCTATGATTAAGTACCTTGATATTTTTTAGTCCCTTAGCGGGCTCAAAAGAGGAAACGCGCCAATGGCTAAGAGAAAAGAGCGGGGAATTTTTGTGACCGCAAGATACAAAAAATGTTTATTTAAAACTATGAATGCGTGATTCACAGAGCTTAGCGAAGTCGATCGGAGAAACCTTACACACGAACTTTACATCTTATATACAAAAAAACCGGCGCAAAAATACGACTGCGACGCAGGTAGAGGGGAAGCGGAAGTGAGACACTGATTACTCACTGATGGCTCGAAATTTGCTATTGTTTTGAAGCCCATGGTCCAAATAGCTTAAACTTCATTGATTAATTTTTTCCTTAAAATACTTCAGCCGTCGAAACCCGTCACCAAAGAAGTTTCTTGACCGTTGAAAGAACCACCATAAATAACCAAGTTTTGTTTTGCGTGATCCCGGCGCTGACGTCGACAAATTAATAAACCTCGCGCGCTCGAGGAAATATAAGTAATAATAAGCAATTAAATAAATAAATCCTTGACATATTTTGAACCCTCGCCCCTTAACATTTTCCCCTCAACCCTCGGCTCTCGACAAAAACCTACACTTTGTTCTTTTCGAAGCATTGTCAAAAAGTGAATAATACAATAATGCACAAACTGCTGCAATTATCAGAAGGACATTTAATATGGATTTTAAGTACATGCTCTTTTGCACAGTTGACTGATTACGTGGATAACTCAAGCTAAAAAGTAAAGGAGACAAAAGTAGTGTAAAGACACACGAAAAGGATTGTTCCTCAGGATAGAAAAAAAGTTAGATACGAAACAAAAGAAAACACAATAAAAGGCACTTACATTGTTTATCGTGGCTCCGACGTCTGCGAAAGAACATAAGTCCGAAAGCGACCACAAGAAGCAGAATGAAAATGGCCAGCAGCACCACAACAATCACAACCAAGTTAGGCTTGCTAGCATGTACATCGTCTGCCAAGGGATGTTCAGTGACGGTTTTCCCTGACGTGACCCCTTATTTGATATATAAAAGAAGAGGCTGTTTCAGATAGGGCATGGAACCAAACGTTCAGATGCAACATTTTAAAAACAGTAAAATGCTTTGATGAATTAAATCCACGTGTTAGCATTCTCGATACAAATTCAACGTTGCTCTCATCTATAAAATTTATACAAACACTGTAAAGTCAATAAAACGATGGTGATAATGATGGTGGTAACTAATAACAGAACAGACAAAGTAATGAAATGCATGGAAGTTGAAAAACTAGTGATAAATTTTATTGTTTCTATTTTTTTAAAGGTTCTTTTCTATATATCATACCTATGCTTTGATGATTGCCTATCTATTTTCAAGGGAAGCGCAAATTAACAGTAACAGTGTGGTACAAATTTATTTTTCATGGGAAAATTACATAAACATATGAATAAATCTTTGCATGAAAAATAGAAATAACGGAAAAAAAGGGTAAATAAGCTTTTACCTGTTGTCGCAGTTGTAGATGGTCCTTTGAACCCAGCAGTTGTCAGTGCTTGGGATCCATCAGTCAGTCCTAAATTAAAGAGGAACACAAAACCAAAGTTAGTGATTCATTATTAGCATTTTCAATAAAAATTCAACGTTTTTATAACGTATAAAAATTGTACAAATACTTGTAGGTAGATATTAACAATGGTAATAACCGGAAAAAAAAAGGGTAGATAAGCTTTCACTTGTTGTCGCAGTTGTAAATGGTCCTTTGAACCGAGCAGTTGTCGATGCCTGAAATCCATCATTCATGCCTAAATTAAAAAAGAACACAAAACCAAAGTTAGCGATTCACTATTAGCGTTTTCAATAAAAATTCAATGTTTTTCTAACATATAAAAATTGCACAAATACTTGTAGGTAATAATAATGATAATGCTCACAAAAGTGGTAAATTAAATAAACCAGAACAAAGAACTAAAAGTATGCACATTTTTTTTCTATTTGTTTAAGGTTTGTCTGTTTCTTTTCTACTTACATATATGTATAAATTTAAAGTTAAAGATTTGCAGGAGTTTCGAAGCGTAAGTCGGGGGAAGTTATGCCCCTTAACTTGATTTATACTTACATTTAGCACTGATTCACGTCATCGTCTAGACATATTTGTTAGATGGGTCAAGCCTTCAACAGTTACAACGCCAATACTTACCTGTTATGGTGGATGCTGTCGCTTTCGCTGATTTTTTCTCTAGACAAGAATATGAAAATTCACTTATCATTGTGATTTTGTGATTTTATATCCTATTTTAAATGGAACGCATAGCAATTGTAACAGTGTGGTATCTATAAATGAAAAAAAGACAAACAAATAAATAAAAACTAAGAAATAGATATATTAAAATAATTTAGCCAGCTGTATGATAAGAAGTCCTTATTGGCTCACTGTTAGGATCCAAAGTGACTTCATGTTCTATCTAGTGTTTATACTATGTTATTTCATCTTTTTAGCTTTCTTCCTCGGTGTAACTGACTTTCAAGAGAGGGACTGGGCCGTCTATTACCTCCTCCACCTCTTAATTCACATATGAATCCTGCTCCGGCGTTGGGTGAAGTACAACTGACATCATTATAGCGCCCATAGTTATCTTCATACTTTCCGTACATTTGTGCGCAGTTCTCTTCATGTGTATTCCTTCGGTTGCTAGGTTCTCCTACTGCCCAGGGCCAACGTCCTTCATTGGACGCATTGACTGTGCTGTTATCACTCAACCATCTCCACACTCCAGTTGGTTTATCTTTCCTTAAACCTATGAAGTATTCAATGGTATTCTCTTTTAGAATGATTTTTTTCAGGAATTCCCATTCCGCACGACTCTCAATAGAAACAAGGTTAGATCCGGACTGTTCACAGTTTTTTTTGCTTCCAACCCACTTGTAGCTTTTACCGATAACGTTGCCATAGAAAATGTAGCTGGAACCATTGAAGTTCTTCTTCACGGGAGCTGAATGTAGAATTGAACAAAGACACACCCTATCCATTAACTGTTGACCTTATCAGTCGATAACACCTTGGGAGCAAGTTTAGAAGCAGAAACAAACTGCTCTAACACTAATATTCTTTGGAGTAAAATAGCATACAAACCAGCGTAGGTGAACGTTTATTCAATTGTATTCGAATACATTCAGCCCTTTTTTATCGCTATGGAATGGATCTAAATCGCAATTAATTGATTGTTTTCCTTGTTTTGTTTTGCATTTTGCTTCTTGTTTTTGTTTTTATTTGTTGTTGATGTTGTCTTTTGTTTGGTATGCGATTAGCTTCATACGAAGAATATTTGCCCCATTTTCAAAGTTCCACTCTTTACCGATCTGTCGACTGAGTATTCCTCTTAATACATTTTAGGTTTATTTTAATGTTGGATCCTAAGCGCTAATGTGTGGAACAAGCACAGTGCCTGTTGTGCTTTAATTTTATTGAACTATTTTTTCAACTAGTTCACCTAACCAATACAAAACCTTAATTTCGGCTATTTTTACCAAAAAATGGCTTCATCGATTGTAAATTTAAAATGGTTTCGTGGTGTCTGAGTACATTGCGATATCTATAGTGCAGTGGGCACTATTTGTCCGACCAATTACAGTACCATCCTTTTTTCTTTTAACAAGCAAGCATACTTGATAATCAGCTTTCAAAAAGAAAAAAAAAAGAACATGTAGATGTTTGTCTAAACATTGAGCTTACCAGCATCACTCTTTACGTAAATGGTTCTAGTTAGCACAAGAAGAGCAGAATATATCAGAAAACACACTTTCTCCATTTCAACAAACAAGTGTCTCCCACAGTGTTCTCAAGCTTTAAAAACAAAAATGTTTGCAAATCGCGGTATGATATGTGTATCAGGCCCTTCAGTTGCGCAATTGTCAACAGGTAATTTCGTCCAAGTCGAGCTAAGACAAGACTGTCAAAACCAAACACACGCACGTGTATCAAGCACGAATGTAGCTTTACTCTTTCAGCATCTGAACATAATCTTTGTTTTCCTCTATGATTAGCTTGTAGCAACTGATTTTTCAGTTTTAAAATTAGTTCTCGTAAATCAGCTTTATCTCCTTTTTCTACAATTTCCTTCAGAGCTTATCAGCATAAACGTTGTTTTTAGCCTGAAAGAGTCTGAGATTTCACAGACTACTTTTAGCAGTTTCTATTCAATTTCTATTGTTGGATAAAAATGAAAGTTCTGTTTAAGCACTGACTGATAAAAAATGAGAGTACTTTCGATGTAGACGCTTTAATGACGTTTACGATTGTTACTAGACCCTTTTTTGATTTTGATATACAAATATATATATATTTTTCAATTTTCAGGGGTAAATGTTCGGGCACTAAATGAAGGGTGGCAGTTTAGCTGAAAAACGTTGCATTTGCAAGACTATTTCTCGAATATTCAATTTTACAACTTACGAAGATAGTAAGTAGATACTAATTATTCAAGGCTTTCAAGTGTAACGTGTATTGCGGAAGACCATTGACTTGATCATTTTGTGTACGATCGAGCCCTTTCTTCATCCAGTATCAAGTAATTCTTTGGATGTTAACAGTTGCGGTTTTACAAAATTATATAGCCTGCAGTGGAGGCGTCTTACTAGTGCGAACTAACATTATAAGCTCGCGATCCGATCGGCCATGTTTGAATTAGAGTTAGAGTGGACGGTGAGGTGGGGCAGGGGAAGGGCAAAAAGACACCTGCACGAAGAGGTTGTTAAAATGCCAAACGCCCCCTGATTAGTTTAGATTTCACAGACTACTTTTAGCACTTTCTATTCAATTCTACAGTACTCTGCTGGATAAAACTGAAAGTTCCGTTTAAGCACTGACTGATAAAAAATAAGAGTACTTTCGATGTAGATGCTTTAATGACGTTCACTGTTATTACTAGACCTTTTTTTTATTTGATATATACACATATATTTTTTTCAATTTTCAGGGTAAATGAGAGCAGGCAATGAGCGGGCAACCATCAAAATGAGTAACATTAAAAACCGAAAGCACTGTCTTTCGACAAAAACAAACACACGTAGAGCTGATGAGTGAAGCAGTGAGGTAGTTTTTTTTTAGCCAGGAAAGAAACGGTTTCGACAAAACCTCCTGCGCGGTCCAAAATACGAGCTGATATTTGCTGCACTCTATATTTTCTAAACGAAAATCCTTTAATATATCTGCCGTTAGTTTATTTGAGAATTTTCTTCCATTTGAT